TTACAAAAGTATATCAATAATTCTATATATACTTGATTAGACTCATAACCAATTCAACTCGTATTGACATGATCAAAAGGTTTACCCAAATAAAAAATCAACCGATCTGATATTGGTCCGATCCTTAATCTAATCGATCTAATATTAATATGACTTAAAAGTCATCTGATCCGATATTGATCAGAATCGAAAAACAATCGATATGATAATCATCCGACCTGAAAGTTGACCCATCCATAAATTGACCCGACTCGATTTACCTTACACTTGAACTAAATTCTAACCAGATCCTATCCGACCCAATTAAAATTAAATTTAATATAATCTAAACCCAAAATGACCTAACCCAATGACCTGTAGCAAACCCAATTCGAATGACTCGTTTGGCACCTTTACTAAAATTTGACCGAATAATTACTTTAACCCTTATTTTTTTAAAATATTTTAGCCTTTAACATTTTATTTTAAGGTAAAAAATCCATATTTTAGAACATTAATTGTTTGTTAATTTATGATTTTCATTCAAAAGGAGAAATGGAACGTTAAGATAAAAATAAAAAATAGTGATCAAAGCAGCTATATATTATGTTTTTAACATAATATCATAAAATAGATATTAAATATTAAATTTTATTAAAAAATAGATAAAATTTAAAATTTACTTTATAATTTTTAAAAATTGAGTGTCTAACAATATTATTCGAGTATAATTTATTGCGTATAATTAGTAAACCAAAATAATGCAAAGGCATGGGCGTTGGCAAAGCAAAGAGAGTGAGTGAGTAGTGGGTTGGGGGGGGGGGCCGGGGGGGGGGCAGTCACAGTCATAGCCAGGGGTATGAAGAGTCCACATCGAAGGATACCTCTGCAACTGCAACCATAAAACTATGCACACTCACTCACGCCGACTCCACCCCCTCACTCCACGCGGGTACCCTCTCTCTCTCTCTATCTTTCAATGCAACATTAAATATTATTCTGTCCAAAAACACAATGCTAGTAGCCCAATTGTTTTGGGTTAATTAATTCAAATACCATCAACTTTTAAGTACTGAATCATTTATACTACTAACATTTTAATTTTATTAATTTTAACAGTAACGTTTACGTTTAAGTATAATTATGTCACTCTACCATAAATAATTTAACGTGACAATAACATAACAACGACATATAGTGACGTTGCTGACGTGAATGCCACATCTAAATGACGTCGTTTTGACGTTTTTGTTTTAGTGCTCAAAATGGTATCGTTTTGCTTGAACCTAATTTTCTTAAGGACTAAATTCAAAATTTTCCATTATTTTTTTCCTCTTCTTCCTCCTCATCTTCATGTCCTTTTTCATGGTTTTCTTGGCAACCAAACGAGCAAACAAACTAGTTGCAAAAGCTAGTTAAATGGATCAAACAAGCAAAGAGGGAAAAACCAAACAAACAAACAAACAAATCCCATTCAATGGTCTGTCTCCTGACGCTCAATTCCAAATCCCCAATTCTCATTCTCTTGATATATTCATCTCCATGCAAATGCATCATCTCTTTTTCAACCATTTCCTTAATTAAATCATCTCTTTGTAATTCAAAATCAGGACAACCCATCAAAGAATATGATCTATCGGTTACAATAAAAGAGTCGTTCTGATTAAAGGTCCGATTTTTAAAAACAGGGCAAACCCCCAACTCATCCACTGCATTGAAATCAAGATCACCATCAAAGCAACAACTTGTGTTCTTTGTACAAAGGAGATTCATGGCCGAACTGTCAAAATATTTTGCCATTTTTTCTCAAGAAAATCCCCAAAAAGGTGAAGTACAACAAAAACCCAGGAAAAAGTAAAAAAAAAAAAAAAAGCTTCAATTCAGGATGAAGGTGGAAGCTTTAGGTTGATAAGGGCTCATCAATGGGGTTGTGAGGAAGAGCATAATTTTGACTATAACAATAAAAATCAAAATGAGAGAGTGAAAGAGAGTGGGCCTGAGCGGAGACTGTTGTAATAAGAGAAGCTTTACGTCGTCAAAGACAAGGTGAGATTTTAGGGAAAAATGATAAATGAAATCGAGAGGATCCAGGATAGGGCAACTCACCATTGCCCAAAGGGAACTAGAAATGAAATATATTGGGAAAATGTTATAAATTTTCATCTTATTTTTCATGATAAAGCCTGCCAATTTTTTTTTCATGATAAAGATGGTTTATTTTAGTTTCATATTATCAGAAAACCATAGAAAATGAGATGCAGATGAAGATGAGGATGAGGATGAGGAGGAAGGAGAGGAAAAAAATAATGAGAAAATTTGAGTTTAATCCCTGAAAAAATTAGGATTGAAACAAAACATCATTTTGAATCTTTTGATCATTAAAACGAAAACGTCAAAACGACGTCATTTAGATATGGCATCAATGTCACCAACGTCATGGCATGTCTTTGTCATTACATTTTTCCATTATACCATTAACAGCGGAGTAGTATAATTTCACTTAAACGTAAATTTAATATTAAAATTAATAAATTTAAAACATTAATAGTATAAAAGAGTCTACGCTTAAAAATTAAAAATATTTAAAGTAATTAATTTTTTTCCCTTGTAGCTGCGGTTTGCATCTCGAATACAATCATCATCACTAACTTATATATATATATATATATATATATTTTCTATCTTTAAGCTCTCTTGTCAAATTCACACATCAAAATAACAATGTGTGGTTGAATTAACTTATGATAGGGAACTTCTGCTATACGAAGCTTAAAAACGATTAAAAAACGGTGTGACATGTTAAATAAGTTATCGGTTAAAATTTATATTGATTATGTTATATCATTTAACCGAAAATATTATTAAGTAAAATAATATATTAGGTAGCGCTTATATTGACATATTTTTTAACTAAACAGGTATATTTAAACCGGTAATATTACAAATTTACGTATTACATTATAATTATCGGTTTTGATGTTTTTGGGATTGATACAATTTTAAATGTATCGACACTTTATGCGTGCACCTCGTTGTGCTTTCATTTTGGGAAAAAAATATCGACACATATTTAAAGAGTGTCGATACATAATGTAAACCTATTTGCTAATTAACCAATATATTTTTATCGGTTACATTGTAAATTTACCTATTACAGAATAATTATCGATTTCAATGTTTTTTGGATCTATACTTTTCATAAATGCATCGACACTTATGCGTGCACCAGTTTGAGTTCTACAATTAACAGTTTCAATGACACAAAATCCTAACAAAAAATACAAAACTAAAACTGACATAACTTTATCCTATGGAGATAATAAGAGTATATCATAAGTTTGCGTTGAGAGATGCTTGTTTCTGGATTTTTGTTCTTTAAGAAACTGATAACATGGTGGGTTTCCCAATGTTATTCTTTTGTTACTGTAAATTTTTCGTTCTTTTCTTACTGTGTTTTGTTTAAAATATCCAACTTTTTGTATTAAAAAATGAAAAATCTGAAATAAAAATCAACACACAAGCACACTTTTTTATTATCGGTTTTGTCATTTCGATACCGATTTTGTCATATTTTTTCCTGTTATATTATTATGGATCAATACATTTTTATAAAGTATCGACACTTTATTGGCGCTATAACTTCTTTTCTTTTAAATTCCAAAATGTCGATACTTATAATAAAGTATCGACACTTTCAACATATCTGGTAGCTCTTTACCGGTTTTGTCATTTCGAGACCGGTTTTGTCATATTTTTACATGTTATATTGTTATGGATCGATACATTTTTATAAAATATCGACACTTTATTAGCGCTATAACTTCTTCTCTTTTAAATTCCAAAAGCGTCGATACTTATAATAAAATATCGACGCTATCAACATATCCGGTAGCGACCTGTTTTGTCATTTATATACCGGTTTTGGCATTTTTTTATCTGTTACATTGTTATGACTTAATACATTTTTATAAAGTATCGACACTTTCAATATATCCGGTAGCGCTTTACCTGTTTTGTCATTTATAGACCGGTTTTGTCATTTTTTTACTTGTTATATTGTTATTGATCGATATATTTTTATAAAGTATCGACACTTTCAATATATCCGGTAGCGCTTTACCTGTTTTGTCATTTATATACCGGTTTTGTCATTTTTTACATGTTATATTGTTATGGATCGATATATTTTTATAAAGTATCGACACTTTCAATATATCCGGTAGCGCTTTAGCTGTTTTGTCATTTATAGACCAGTTTTGTCATTTTTTACGTGTTATATTGTTATGGATCGATACATTTTTATAAAGTATCGACACTTTCAATATATCCGGTAGCGCTTTACCTGTTTTGTCATTTATAGACCGATTTTGTCATTTTTTTTACGTGTTATATTGTTATGGATCAATATATTTTTATAAAGTATCGACACTTTCAATATATCTGGTAACGTTTTACCTGTTTTGTCATTTATAAACCGGTTTTATTATTTTCTTACATGTTATATTGTTATGGATCAATATATTTTTATAAAATATCGACACAAACCGACAAGCTAAGTTTGTCAGTTGCCAATTTTTTTAATATTTCTTCATGATTTCAACCTATTACATTATTATTACTCGATATTTCTGATAACGCTAAATCAAATTTATCAAATATCTTTTAATATATCCGATAATATCGTATATTAATCCGTTTTCCTACAATCCGATTAACTGAAGGGTCTTATTCATGGCAGTTCCACAATGTCGACTTTTCTGATACTTCTTCTTTCCATGCCTAGATGTTTTGCTTTTCTTTTTCCTATGGAGCTATGATTTAACTTTTTGCTTTTGGAGATACGTTTGGCCATCGAAAAAGCTCCAATAGAACCAAGAAAAATACCCCCTTTGTGGAGCTTTCGTTAGTTAATAGAACAACCAAGAAAAGACCTGTAACCGAGCTAGTTCAACAGTAATGGATGTGGCGCTTCCTGGTCTGGTTCTTGTCTAAGGTTGTTTTCTTCTCTCTGGATATTTGTGATGGGTGGCGAAACCAAGAAGCAGCTCTCGTCTTCTCCGAAAGAGAAGCTTGAAGAATCATTGGAATCAAGGAAAAAGTACCTGCAGGAACAATCTCCTTTCATCTCTGTGCCTTTTTATGTCCCATCTGGTGCAACGTCTTCTCCCTTTGAACAACAATTTGAGTCGGTTATTCCCAAGAGATCTCGATACAACAGTGGGCAATGGAAACTACAACCCCAAGGGGGTATAATCACAAGCGAATCAAGCCCTTCCCCAACCATACACCCTCAAACACAGGCTTCATCGTCGGACGCAGCCTCGTCTCCGCCCCACTCCCCTCGAGGAACCAGCAAATGTGAAGGAGAACAGCAATCTCATCAGCAATTCAGGAAAGGGAAATATGTGAGCCCCATTTGGAAACCGAACGAGATGTTGTGGCTAGCAAGGGCTTGGAGGACTCAATATCAAGGAGGGTCTGAAACGTCTGGCTCATCTTCAAGAAGCGATATTGCAGTTCAATCAACAAGAGGCAAAACTAGGGCTGATAAGGATAGGGAAGTAGCCGAGTTTCTAAACAAACATGGGATCAATCGGGATGCTAAAACTGCAGGTACCAAGTGGGATAACATGTTGGGGGAGTTTAGAAAAGTGTATGAATGGGAGAGAGGAAACGAGAGGGAACAAGTTGGCAAGAGTTACTTTAGACTTTCTCCATATGAGAGGAAACTACATAGATTACCAGCTTCCTTTGATGAGGACGTCTTCGAGGAGCTGTCTCAGTTCATTGGGACTCGAATAAGAGCTTCTCAAAGCAGAGGAACTTCAAGTGATGATGGTCGTTCGCTTCTTTCTATTCCTCCTCCACCTCCATTCAAAGTAGATGAACTTCCTATTTCAGGTAAGCAAATCATATTTTCCCTTTTGAATATAGCTAAAGCCATAAAGCTGATGTTTTTATGGTTTGTTTCATTTAGTGAGGACAAAACCACTGGTAACGACTGGCAACGTTGGTTTTGGTTTTCCTTCTTCCAAGGAGCTACGTAGGATAGGGAAGATAAGAATGACATGGGAGGAATCAGTAAGCTTATGGGCGGAAGAAGGCGAGCATCATAGAGGAAGAGTGAAACTTCAAGGTTCAAGCTTTTTAAACGCAGATGAACTCACGTTCTTTGATGATTTCATGGTTGCCTGCACAATGGAAGCCTTCGAAGATGGCCATCTAAAAGGTTTCTCTGTAGATAGATTCGTCAATGGACAACAAGTGAAAGTGTTTGGCAGGAGAAAGTCATCTGCAACAGGCATGTTTGTTTAATGGTTTTACTAAATTCTGAAAACTGTTCAGGAATATCCATCTAAAAAGTCATCTCTCTAATGAAAACCAGGTTTCACTGAAAAAACACAGCTTCCATTTGCAGAACACCCTATCAGATGTAAGTCCAATTAAAAGCTATGACTTGAACATTGTAAATACATAGAATCTAATGAATGTTTTGATTCACTGATGGCTATAAAACCTCGGAGAAAGTGCACGCGTTGATAAGATTATTGTTTGGCTTTTAGCTGCAGCTGTGCCACCATTGGAGTTCCAAGACCCAACAGACTACTACATCGGGTGTCTTCAAGTTCCTCCAACGACACTGCCGAGCTTGTTTGAGCTTTCATGGCATTTACAAGAGCCGCCGCCCGAGGAATATCGTTTTCCTCTAAGGAAAGATGTGTACAAAGATTTGCCATCCGGTAAAGAAGTATTGTTTACTACTTCCAATGAACAGTTAGATTGTAGAGCAATCGTATATGACGTGTTGAGCTCAGTTATCCGCACCAACCCTAGTCTAAGTGCTGCTACTGCCACTGGGAGAGACTCTTTTATTGCCCTTTGGGACGATTGCATCAATAGGGTTGTTTCCAAATTTTGTTCGGTTGAAATGGTTATTATCCGAAAACCATCTTCGTTAAACGAGCCATTGCAGGATCAATGGCCGAACTTGACAGGTTTCGTTAGAAATTTTTGCCTGTGGAGGGGAGAGGAGACTGATCAAGTGAGGGAAGGGAATCTTCACCCATCATCTTCTTTGGTGGAGAAGTTGCTATGGACTTACACGGATCTGCCGTACGTATTAGGCTATTATGCTGTTGGCTACATGGTAACTTTCTGTGCGTTAAGCCGATCTTGCGATGGGCTTACCAGGACAGATTTATGTTCCGTAGATCTATCGTCTCCCTCGGAGAGACTTAAATCCCTAGTGCCTTGCTTTAGAATAGCGAGCCTATTGCCTTTGTTGGCTGATCGATGCGTCAGTGCCATTGGCTCGTACAAGCAATTTTCATTCAGCGATTTCGAAAGGTTTGATTTGGGGAATGGAAGTGTAATGGAAATGACGCCATATACGGTGACAAGATCATTCTCCAACAAGAAGAAATGGGCAGCAGTGAAGGAAATATACGACATATTGGATCATCGAATCCCACACGCTGAATTCATTTGTCGGGCATGTGAGAAAGATCTTGTACTGGTGTTTAAGCCTAGAGGTTGCAGATTCAAGCCCGTCAACTGTGAGCAGCTCGTCGAAGCTCTCAAGTACGTGACAAAAGCATTGGTTGCTCTAAATGACTTGTGCTTCATGCACAGGGACTTGGGATGGGACAAAGTGATGCGGAGAACCGACGTTGAAAACGAATGGTTCCTTTGCGGCTTCGATGAGGCCGTTGGTGCACCGCAGATGTACCCACACCTGGTGGCGAGTGGGGATGCGCGTGATAGACACGCTCCGGAGATGGGGAGGGGGTTACATGGGGTGAAAGTGGACGTATGGGGCGTAGGGTACTTGGTCAAGACGTGTGGACTCACAGACGTGCCGAAAATGCTGAGGGAGTTGGAAAGTAGGTGCTTGGATCAGAACCCTGAGCAGAGGCCGACTGCCGCCGATTGCTACCACCACTTACTGCAGGTGCAGTCAGCTTCATCCGATGCAGCACCCTATTGAAACGACACCATGAACAGATCATCAATTTATATTATATTATTTCACTTTCTGTTTGGCTTTAGTCCCCTAGTATATTAGTGTATGAGCTTTTCTTTTTCCAGTGGAACAGTTGTGTGGGGGCAGTTTTGATACCTTAAAGGGTCGTGCTTTTCGAGGGTGGTGGGTCTTCTTCATATGCTGAGGGGTCTGATATTTTGGGAAAGGAATGGCGGCTGCTGCTAACTGCCAGCACCTGAGGTTAACCAGCTGGTCCTTTCCAATCCAATCAAATCAAATCAAAAGATTTTATTTTTCTCTCTTAATTTACTTCTGTTGCAGCAGTGTTCTGGTTTCTAGAGGTATGTTGGGGTTTGGGAAACTCGAAGGTGATAAACGGAAATTTAAATAATATCAATCTTTATATAATGACAGAGATATTATTTACTATTGTTATCGTATTATCATCATTACTATATTTGTAATGATTATTATAGTATTTATTATTATCGTAATTTTGTTAAATATAATGTAACTGAAAATACGATTATAATATCTATTTAATTCCCTGATGTTAACATGGTAATGCTTACTAAATTCCCAACTCGCCATAGTAGAAAGCATGAGTAATGAGTTGTAAATTAAAATGTCTATGAACCACTAAATTCTGCTTCCATGCTATTAGTAGGGTAGCCTAATTCTCTCCTATGGCACTCATAGATAAATAAGAAAAATGATAGCATGCATTCCGACTATTATTTTCATGCAAATGATAGCATCAACTAGGTCAAGCTCACTGTTCTCTGGATCAAAAGCTTACTGTTTTGCCGATCTGTTAATTGTGATGGATATACTATTAAATTTCGGTTGTAACATGATATAACAATTGCATTTTAGCATTTTACAAAGTCACTGTAATTAGGGATGGATTAAGGGGTGGGTGGGAGAAGCTGTCCCTTGAAATTTAAAATTATTATGCATTTTAGATTTTTTCTATAAATTTTCTATTGAAACTTTATTTTCGTCCTCCTGAAATTCAAGTTCATCATTTGAAATTTTAAAATTTCAAATTCGTCCCCTAACCTAGAATCCTATGTCCGTCCTGACAGTAATATCGTATAACGTAATATAACAATTAGTCGGTGACGGATCCAGAAATATTTTTTAATGTAGACACACATACGTTAATAGAATAAAATTTTTAAATGAGATGAGTACAAATAAAATTTTAGGGTGGATACCGTCTGTAAAGTAACTAATCAAAGAAAATTCATATTTTAAGGTGGGCACAAAAAATTTCAGAGTAGGCATAATCAGTAAAATAAATAACTAATCAAAGAAAATTCAAATTTTAGGGTGATCACATACTCACCCTCACCGAACTGTGTCTCTACCACTAGTGATGGCGAAAACAAAAACCAAAACCAGATTTATTTTCATATTTATTTTACTAATAATTAGTTTATCTAGTGAGGTTAGATAAGATAGGAAATTAAAAACACATTGTAGACGGAGTAATCTCTAATTTTTTAAAAATATTTTTTTAGATTAAGGTTTAAGTATATTAAAGATTTATGTATTATTTTAAAATTTAATTTATATATTTTTAGTTTAAGTTTTAAAATTTTCAAAAAAAATTATTTATTTTTATCATTAATTATTGATAAGAAGAGTCAAACAATTTCTTAGTTATTTGCGTTTACAATTTAAATGATGATTAAATTTCAAATTTTATTAATATTAGATTGAGAGAAGAAAAATTAAACAAAGCTTATTGGAAGAACAAAAGACTCAATGTCACAAAATTAAAATATATAGACTAAATTTTATGTTTAGAAAGGATATATAGACCTTTGATATACTTAAATTTTTTATCTGAAAATAAATTTTAAAACATTATCTAAAAGTTTTTGAATGAATAACTCTATCTTTGAAATTATGCATACAAAACTCTAAGACATGTTTAATGTTATATGATAAAACGAGTTATGTTAAAAGTGATTTCGAAAGTGTGAATAATTGGACATACTTTTATCATATGATTAGTGCGTTAAGTAAAAATTTGTCACTTATAATAAGAGTTTTATACTATGTAGTTGAAATATTTTATCTTTCATGAAGGATTTGAAGATAAAAGTTATAAGAATTAAAAAAAAAAGATTATAAGAATCTTTTTAAATAAATATTTTTAAAAAAATAATGATTTAGTTAAGTTTGTGTCCGGAAAAAAATATTATGTGAATATTTTCCTCACGTTATTCATAATCTCAATTAATAAAAATCATTTTTTTATTTTTCTTTGTTAAAAGTGTGAATATGAGACTGAATTAATTTCTCTTATGGAAATACAACATATATATATACAATCTAATCTAACTAATTAACTGATAATTAGTTACAACAGAAAAACAGAAATAACAAACTTAATTTCTCAACACTCCCCCTCAAGTTGGTGGATGAAAGATATTCTTCATCCCCAACTTGGATACAAGATATTCATGTTGTTGTACTCCCAAGGCTTTAGTAAAAATGTCTGCTAATTGTTCTGATGAAGATACAAACTCTGTCTTGATAAACCCCTCTTGTATTTTCTCCCTTATAAAATGACAATCAATTTCTATGTGCTTTGTGCGCTTATGATAAACTGGATTTGCTGCAATCTGAAGAGCAGCCTTGTTGTCACAATATAACTTGACTGGACATTTTCTTTCTAGACCAAGCTCATTGGCCAAACCATTCAACCATGTCAATTCTGCTGTTGTAACAACCATGCTTCTATATTCGGCTTCAGCAGATGATCTGGCTACGACATTCTGCTTCTTAGATTTCCATGAAATCAATGAATTTCCAAGCTTAATGCAAAAACCAGAAACAGATCTCCTTGAAACAGGACATGCAGCCCAGTCTGAATCACAGTATGCTCTGATTTCACAGTTGCCATTTGAGTCCATTAGAATCCCTTGACCAGGATTCCCTTTAATATACCTCACTATTCTCAATGCAGAATGTAAATGGGACTCCTTGGGCTGTTGCATAAATTGACTCAAGTAATGCACAGCAAAGGTTATATCAGGTCTAGTATGTGTGAGATAAATGAGTCTTCCAACAAGTCTTTGATAAACGCTCTTGTCAACCAACAACTTATCATCTTCATTACTCCCTTTTTGTGCGTAACTCATCATATTTTGATGTAGTAAGCCTAACATTTTGCTCAAAAGGAGTTCTTGCAGGCTTTGAACCACTCATTCCTGATTCCTCAATTAATTCAAGAGCATACTTGCGCTGATTAATTAGGATCCCTTCTTTTGACCTCATAATCTCAAATCCCAAAAAATACTTCAACTCACCAAGATCCTTCATTTTAAACCTTTTGTTTAACAAATTCTTCAAATCATTAATCAAACAACTATCATTGCCAGTAATCAACAAGTCATCAACATAAATCAACAAAACTACAATCTTATTACCCTTTCTCATCGTGAACAGAGAATAATCAAACTTGCTCTGTTCATAACCAGCCCCTAAAAGAGCCTCAGTCAACTTTAAATTCCATTGCCTAGATGCTTGTTTTAGGCCATAGAGGGATTTTGCAGTCTACACACCATATTCTCCCCCTGACTGCAAAAACCAGGAGGAAGTTCCATATATACCTCCTCAGACAAATCACCTTGTAAAAAGGCATTATATACATCAAGTTGAAACAGAGGCCAATCAAAAATAGAAGCAATGGCAAGAAGAAAACGAACAGTAACCAATTTAACTACTGGTGAGAAAGTATCCACATAATCCACACCCTCTCTCTGACTATAGCCCTTGGCCACCAAACGAGCTTTATATCTTTCTATTGTACCAGCAGCATTGTACTTAATCCGATAAACCCATTTACATCCAATGGGAACTTTTCCATAAGGTAAAGAAGCAACTGACCAAGTTTTATTTGTCTCAAGAGCAAGAATTTCATCCTTCATAGCCTGTACCCATTCTGGATGTTGAATGGCCTCATGATAGGATTTAGGTTCAACAGAATTTGAAATGAAGGAAACAAAAGATTGTGTACGACAGGGAAGATGATTGTAAGAAATGAAATCTGAAATGGGATAGTTGGAGGTAGAAACAGAGTTGCAAATAAAATCATTTAACCATTGAGGTTGCTTAGGAACCCTAGTAGATTTTCTAACCAAGACTGGAGCTACTGGAACCATAGGAGTTTCTAACTGTTGTGATGATTGCCCAAGTTCAACACTAGAAGGAGAAATAATTGGGATAGCAGAAATAGATTGCTGACCAAAAGAGAGGTTTAAAAAATCAGAATCAGGAACAGAAGGAGTGGAAGGAAAGAAAGAATCTGTTTGAACAGGAAAATGAAATGGAAACACTTGTTCATGAAAAATAACATCTCTATTGACAAGAAACTTTTTAGAAGTGAGATCAAACAAGAGATAACCTTTTTTAGTACTAGAATAACCCATGAAGACAGAAGGGAGGGCTCTAGGGGAAAATTTGTCAGTTGGTTTAGGGTCAGTAGCATAGCACAAACAACCAAAAACTTTCAGAATATTCATGTCAGGAGCTTTGTGATAAAGAAGTTCATAAGGAGTTTTCCATTGCAAAACAGAAGAAGGAAGTCTGTTGATAATGAAGCAAGATGTTAATACACATTCACCCCAGAATTTAATAGGTACTTTGGACTGAAAACGCAAAGCTCTAGCTACCTCTAAAAGATGTCTATGCTTTCTTTCAGCAACTCCATTTTGCTGTGGAGTCTGAACACATGAACTTTGGTGCAGAATACCAAGAGAAGAGAAAAAAGGAGAGCAATGAGAATTAAAAAATTCTGTACCATTGTCACTTCTAATAACTTTAGTGACAAAAGAAAATTGAGTAGAAGTAAAGGAAAGAAATTGTTTAAGGAACAAGATAGTATCAGTTTTAACTCTCAAGAGATAAACCCAAGTCATCCTTGTACAATCATCAACAATAGTCAGAAAATACCTATGACCACTATGAGTAGATATTCTATAAGG